CTTCAAAAACGTCCAGACAGGGAGTCTCAACTGTGTAGAAAACTGGTTTTGTGTCCCACTTGCTGCACAGGAGTTTAGAATTGATAGCCATTTTGTTTCCACAGTAGAGTTTAATGACACCTTGTGTTGTTAATGAGGAGCACTTTACCCTCCCAATAAAGAAGAAATGCAACCACAGCACTGATTGGCTCCCTGAATTCCCAGGAGGCGGGTAGCTTGACCATAGCTAGGTAAACACACTTGCAAATGGGCCCCTTGCTGCGTTTCCATGTGTCACCAGTGAGGGGGCATTATACATCATTCACAAATAATTTATTATTCACATCTGCAAAAACTCATAAAATCCATAACCATAAGAGAAGTGGAATGGCTATATTCATGTTACTAAAATAGATTTCAGCATACGAAACACGGTGGAGAGTCAGGAGAATAAGACACTTGTGGATTAAGATTCCAAAGCAATCTCTCCCCATTGGCACAGCAGGTTGAACATCTGCTTATACACCTCGCTAACCTCACAAGAGGCAAGGAAATTGGGCGACGAACCATCATTCTAGCCTTTCACTCACTGTGAGGATTCTGGATTCAGATAGTGGGTTATCAACTTTTGGAGTTTTCTTTTTGTGCTATTTTCTCACATTTGTTTCTCTATGTTGAGACTTGTTCATCACGGAAAACTCTTCCTCTATATGTGAGGATGTTTTTAGTAAGCAGATTTCTCTAATGAGTTATGATCTTTGCAATTCCTCTAACCTAGAAAAATGAATGGGAAACGTTAGTATAAGATATGCCCAAAAAACACTAGGTACTAAAGATAGCAGCATTAAACTAAAACACAAATAAAAGGGGGAAGGGAAGACATAGGAGATATGACAGGAGACAGAAAAAAAGAGTATATAATAAAATAAGAAGAAAATGTCCAGTTAAAGAATTTTAAAACATATATAAATTAGATAACCCTATGAAAAACCCACTAATGAGAGAAAACACAAGAAAACCACATAAAAGGCAAAAGAAGTGAAGCCATGAACAGGACTAATACTACTCCCTGTGGAGCTATTTGAAGCAGAGACTTCTCTTCCCCAGACTTCTAGAATTGGGATCTCCCTGATACTAAGGGCTTCCTGTCCACACTGCTCCTTCTCAGAGCCTGTTCTAGTATACAGCAATATTCGGGGGTCTGCTGCTGGCTGAGCTCCACCCCTCCCTGCCAACCAGCAGCTGCCAATGCAGTGACCTGTGGTGAGCCTAGATTCACACACTCACACTGCATACCTCAGGCCTGAGGGTGTGGGTTTGTAACTGGAAGCAGACACAGAACTGGCTTTGGAGACACCACCCATCCTCTATCCTGCCCCACCTGCAGACTGCTCTGGACTGAGGTCCCTAAGTCCTGGAGCTCCCCAGCCCCTGTGCTCGCAGTTGTGGATGGTAGGTGTCCAACAGCAGTGGCGTGTGCTCCGGATGCCTCTGGGTAGGGAGGAGGCAGGGGCTCCAAGGGTCCTGCGCCATGCTGAGAAGCCATGGGCACCACGCTCTCTGCCAGTCCGGCACAGTGCTCCTGGGCCCAGACCCCGTGGCTCCACACTTGGTTGGTCTCTCCCTGACATAATGTTCAAACCACAGGGTTTTTTTAAAGTAGAAATTGCCTCAGCTTCAGTTTCCCTCTTTATTTCCTGCCATCTGCCAGCCGGAGAAGGCACACTGCCCCCAGTAGCAGCTGTCATTCTTCTTCTCTGGCAGAGTGCACTCCCACCACCAGAGCCCTGCAGTGCTGTCACAGTCAGTACTTCCCTGCAGCCAGACTGAGCCTCAGCTGGGCACCGCTGCCTCTTGGGTACAAGTAGCCGGAGTCTGCGGCCACAACTCCTGTGAGGTCTCTTTCCTCCTTCCCCAGTTACTTTCTTCCCCCTCCTTCTGAATCATCTGGGGATCCCGATAAGGGTCTTGTCTCCTTTCAAGGCTGCCGAACAGAACATTTCTGCCTCCAGACACAGCCCTGGGTGCCCCATCCAGATCTGCGACGGTGGCTGCCTTGCTCTATCGCTGTGTTCTTGCTCTCAGGCTCTTTCCAGTCGCCCAGCTCTCAGCTGCTGTCCCTTTGTGCAGGTCTTCACACAATTCGAGCTCAGTATGTCTACAGTTTTACTGTGTGTTCCTGTACTTCTGACCCTGTCCTTCCTTGTCTACTGCCCTAGTGAAAGTTCACTTCCCTAAACCAAAATCCAAGCATCGTGTTCTTTTTTTTTTTTTCCTTTTCTTTCTTTCTTTTTTTTAATTTGAGACAGGGTCTCACTGTGTAGTTCAGACTGGACTTGAACTCACTAAGTAGCCCAGGCTGGCCTCGAACTCCCAGCAATCCTCCTGCCTCAGCCTCTCAAGTACAGGTATTACAGGCATGCGCCACCATGCCTGGCTGCATTGTGCTTTCTTGTGCTTTCCCTTACCTCACCTGTCCCAGTCTGTTGCCAAGGACAGTCCTTTCTACCTCATAAACATCTTGCAATCCCCTCCATTCCCTCCACCATGTTAATACCACAGGTGGATCAGCCAAACATCAGGTGCAGCATCCACAAGTCTGTGCTTCTGATTTCAGTATTATTTATTCCTGTTGTTTGTTCACATGGCAGCTAGGACAGTATTTCTAAAATACATTTTTACTTTCTTTGTTGGTTCTTTAAATATTTTTAGGTTTTATTTTTACTAGTCCATGTTTGCAACATAGAATGATTACATTCCTCACCATAAGTTGGTATATGTACATAACACATCTTAATTCTTTTTTCACCTCCTTCCAGAATTTAGATTGCACTGTATTTGGAATTCAGCAAAACTGGGATTTGAATCTCATGTATATCAGCTGTGTAACATTTTCTGAGTTTCAGTTTTATTTTCTGGAAAATAGGTATAAAAATGACATCTCAGCTTGGGTGTGAAAACCCAAGTAGACATACACCTGAGGAACGTGAGCTGGGACAGAGTACACATTAGTCAATTGTGTATTATGAACTTAAACATTTTTTATGAATTCCTATGACTCATAGAATAATTTCCAAAATCCTTGTTATGGACAAGTTTTTGTCCTCCCAGAATTCATGTGTTGAAATCCCAGCCTCCAAAAAGATGATATCAGAAGGTGAGATCTTTCATAGGTAGTTGGGGTATAAGGCTGGTGTCCTCACAGGTGGCTTTAGTGCTCTTATAAAAAGAGGCACAAGAGGCCTCTTTCCTCTCTGTTCTCTAGCACGTGAGGATACAGTTACCAGATGACCCTGCCCAACAGGAAGAGCTTCCTCACCGAAGAGGCCATGCAGGCAGCCTGGTACTGGGCTCCAAGCCTCCAGGACTCTTAGACATAAACCCCCTTTTGTTTAAGCACCCACCGTACAGTGTCCTGTTACAGTACCCAGATTCGCTGGACAACCTGAAGACACTGAGACCTGAGGGATATGACTTCATACTCTACTTCCTTCTCCTTTGATTCGGAAGCCTTGTCATGCATGGCACAAGAAACAGATCTCCCTGGCCCTGGGCTTTTACTGTGTGTGGAGGCGGGGGTGTTTGCATTTTATTGACTTGTCTGGGACACTGTCCATCCCTCACTCTCCTTTCATTTATATCGCCCACTTTTTCATCAGGGGTAGACGGCCCCTCCTGCAGGACATCTCCTCTGCATTCCCAAGTTGGGGGCCACTGATCTTCCCATGAGCTCTTCTCATGGTCCGTTCCACCCTGCAGAGTAGGCTACCTGGGTCTACACGATGTATCTCCCAGTCTCTCTCATCCTGCAGTCATAGGGGGCTGTGTTAATCGCGCCCCCATTTTACCCGCAGTGTATAGTAACATCTCTCCAGAATGAATCTTGTATGAATGAAACCTGAACAACAGTTTGCCTTCCTTCTCCACGTGAAGTATTGTTTTCATTTTATCATTGAGGAATCTTAGGGTCAGGAGAATAACAAGATCATGCAATAAATGATTGCATTTGAGTTCGTCTTCATATGCAGCCAGGTTGTCTGTATACCAGATGAATCTTTGACTTGGAAAGGCATCTTAATTACTGTTAAAATAATTGATTTGTTACCATTTTAGGGCCATTAATGATGTATCCCTGAAAATGGAATTTCATGTCAGTAGCATATTTAAATTATCATAAACCAGCAATACACAATTATGTAGGAAGAGGAAGGTAACCTATAAATGTATGAAATCGTGAAAATGGACTTTTCTAAAGGCTTCTAAATGCCACTAAATCAGTTCTGCTTATACTTGAGTCAGCTCTCCATTGACTATAACAAAATACCAGGGATAATCACCTTAAAAGAGGAAAGGTACAGTGTGGCACACAGGTTCACTTTCAGTCCACTGTTGGTTGGTTCCCCTGCTTCTGGGCCTGAGCAGTGCAGGACATCCTTGTCACAAGTATGTGGCTGGGCAAACTGCTCATGTCATGGCAGCTGGGAAGCCGAGAAACAGGAAATGATGGGGTTTCCAAAGCTCTTCTGCAGGGCACACTCCTGATGACCTAGGTTCCTTCCATTGGGCCCCACATCCTAAAGGTGCAGCCACTTCCCAGCACACTACAGGCTGATGCCATGCCTTGAACACATAGGCCTTTGGGATACAATTATCCAAACCCAGCATTCTGTAAAATGCACAGCACAGAGTCTGCTGCATGGGCTACATGGCCTCAGTAATAACCACTATTATTGTCACTTGAAACACTGTGAGAGCCAGCTACTACTTTTTCAGCAAATTACAACACACACACACACACACACACACACACACACACTTTACAGACCCCAAAACAGTTCACATAGCCAATGTAAAAAAGGAACTATGTGCAGGGGCCAGGGTTTGGTCCGCCACAACATCAAAAATAAATAAATAAAGTAAAAGGAAGTGGTTGTTTTCCTCCAAAATTGTGGCATTTCAGCACAACCTTCAGGATTTAGAAAAAGTGCTAAGAGTCTGCAGATTGCCAGTGAGTGAAGCAATGCAAAGGATCGTGACCAGCTGAACACAGAGCTCGAGTCTCCGCCAGAGCCTTGGCCTCACCAGACACACAGTACCCTCGAGAGCCAGAGGAAGGTAGGTTTGGGATGCGCCTTCCTAGGCTTCCGGGCCAGTGGGTTTTCATGGATGCTTCTAGGAACCTTGAGAATAGAATGAGGAAAAAATATGGCCATCTCCCCTGTTCCCAGCTGGTGTCTTGGATGAGGAAGGGTTGAGTGCACCTCTAATGTATACTGGGAACACTGGAGGAAGTCTTGGTGCCAAGGCTGGAGCCAGGAAACGTAAGGACAAAGGCAAAGCTAGCACTGTACACAGTTGTTTTAGTTACTTCTGTTCATTTACTCCCCGGCCACCAAACAAAGGAAAGCAATATTTCAGACTTTGACTAATTGTTTCATGTATGCTCTATATGTTCCTTCTTCCATGTACTTTAATCTTTGTCACTGATTTGTTATTTTTTAATTGAGCAGTTAAGAAAAGATCTGCCCCTGGCATAATTTGGTGGGGGTGAGGTAGGGTAAAGGCCGGGCCCTCATACTAAGGCTGATCCTGAGACAGGTCGTAGCCTGGCTTAGTCTCCAGCCCCCTTGGGCACCATGCTTGGGTCGCCCAAGCCAGGAACAAAAGCTGTTGGTGAGGATGTCCACTGATGGAAGTCACCATGAAGACTCTTTGCACTGTAGAAATGAGGAAGGAGCTTGGAGGAAGATGTGCTGCTGCGCTCTCTCCTCAGGTGAGATGCAAGGCATCTGGAGCAGAGAAATGGTTACCCAGTGCAGCAGCTTTACTTGCTAGAAGGAAATCACTCTTTCCGTGCACTGCTGGAGGTTTCCACTGAGGAAAGCTGCTTCCTTCTTTGTGGCCCCCAATAAAGTACAACATGGATCGCTCTAACAGACCTGACTTGGAGGGGAGGGGATTTCTCCTTCACTCTTGTTCTCTTTGCTTCTCAGAACTATGTTTGGAAAATAACAGCTGTCAATTTGAGAGTTCACTCCCAGGTTTGTACACAAGTTATGGGGCCGGGATTTAGCTCAGTGGTTTCGTTGCCTGCTGTGCAAGTGCAAGGACCCAAGTTCAATCCCTGGTAGCAAAAAATAAAAAATATAAAAATATAAACAAGTTATGTTTTACACTTCTGAATCCATAAGCGTTTTCTGAAGTCTGTGGCCATGGTGTGGTGTTCTGCCGTCTGTAATTCCACACAAATTCTTCCTGATGCAGACTTCATTTTTAACAATCATTTCCTCTGATTTATAGGAATTTTCATCATTTCCCAGTTTTGTAAATAGATGGGGTTGCATGTTTGTTTTTCCAGACTATTTTTGGAAATTTTCTGGGTGAAAAAAGAATAAAAACTAATTTTTTGTTTTGTTTAATTTGTGCTTCTATTTCAAACTCTTCCACATTGTGTATTCTTTATTATTATATGTCTAGATTTTTAAAGGATTTACTTTTGTTTTATGATCTATCATTTTCTTCTTGTTGTTTTCTTGATGTATCAATTGTAAATAGGCTAATTCTTTCCAGCTAAATGTGAATTCTTTTCCTGATTAGAGCAAATTTGGACACTTTAAATTTTTTCCTGTTGTGCTGCTAACGTAAGGGCACAGACATCCAAACCTAAGATTTCTGTGGCGGCTTGGAAAAGCATGAGTGACATCACACTCAGCTGTGCTCAGATGAATCTTAGTAAGCGAACTTCACTCCCACCAGCACTGAAGCCAAGGGGCCATGAAGTTCTGAGTATGGACTCTCGCTCTGCCTAATATGCTGCATCTTCCTCTTCCTGGGCTCAGTTATCATAATATAGGAAGGGAATGTAAACGAGAGCCTGTCCTCATGGGATACACGGCCTCAAAGTGTCATGCTCCTTTCTTCTCGTTTCCAGGACCTCATCCTCAACTGTATTTCTTAGTCTGCTGCCATAGCAACCATGCAAGGGATGGAGCCCACCTCAGCGGACGTCAACCCTGCTCTGCAGCAGCAGGAGCAGCCTGCGGCTCTACACTCATTTCTGCCCAGACGGATGGCAGAGAAGTTCTTGAAAGGGGAACCAAAAATCCTGGGGGTAAATCATTTGCAGATTTGAGAGGAGAGCAATGGTGTTGTGAACTCTCACTTGATCAACCTAGTGCCAAATTCACCAACCAACTGGCCTTGGAACACATCAGCCTCCAGCAAAATCACCAGTGTTTGATTCTCAGGACTCATCACTGGAAATGAATAATACTATGTTCTGCCACATTGTGCTTCAAGTTTAGTTATATTTAAAATAGATTTCAGATCTATTTTAGGTTGCGGGTCATTCAGATTAAAAAACAGGAACAGAAAAGGCTCTGGTGCCCCAGGGGTCCCTCACCAGCCTAAGCAGCTGAGGACCTGTCTCGTTCCTGTATCTTGGGACCACTCATAGCCTGCTCCTCAGCGGACAGAGTATCTTCTTTCCTTCAAGTATTTCGTTCTGCAATCTTAGGTCAATGCAGCCAAGTAAAAGGAGAATTTAGAAAGAAAAATACATCAGAGAAGGAGAAAGGGCATTGTCTACTGGGATCTATCTCTACCCTGAATTTGAAACCACCAGGAAGAAAAACCGTTGTGGGTGCATGACAACCTTTAATTTTCCAGTATCATAATTTTCATTTTGAAAATAATTATTGTTTATGACCTAGGTTACATGTTGGCATACACTGGGGTTAATTTTAAGCATATTAAAATGTATTTTAGACTGTGTTGTAGCAGTTTTAGCTTCATAGCAAAATTAAAAAGGAGGCACACATCTCATGTCTCCACAGTCCCCAGACTCACGTCTCCCACATCAACCTCTCTCCCCTGGGTGCTGTGTTGGCTACAGCTGGTGGGCCTCCCTGATACATGGTATTGCAGAAAGTTCCTCCTTACAGTAGGCGTTACTCTTTGATTGCTCACTCTATGGGTTTTTACAAATGTATAATGACTCGTATCCATCATTCCAGCATCATACAAAGTAGTTCTACTCCCCTGAAAATCCTGTGTTCTGTCTGTTCATCCTTTCTCTGACTTTTCCAAACCCAGAATCCACTAATATTTTTCTGTGTCCATAGTTTACCTGTTCCAGAAACTCACACAATTGGAATTACACAACACACTGCCTTTTGAATTTTGATATATTATACGTTCAAGCAGTGACTGATTCATTTTATCTAGCTCAGAAGATTTTGAGGAACAGAGTTGTTCATAGCATTCCTTTATTATCTGTTGAAGTCTTATGGGATATATATTCCCCCACCACACTGAGGACATTATGTCCTTGATATTCTTTTCCTAATTTGCCTGGTTAGAGTCTTACTGTTTCATTTATATTTTTATTTTCATTTATCTATGTACCCTAAGGTGACCTCGAACTCGTGACGCTCTTGCTTCAGCCTCCTGAATGCTGAGATTATGGGCATGCGACACTATGCCTGGCTCATTTACCTTTTAAAGACGTTTTTTAGCCTTTAGTTGTAAAATTTTGTGTATTGATTTTTTTCTTTTCAGTTCATTGACTTTTGATCTAATTTTTACATTTTTTTGCTTGCTTACTTTGAAATTAATTTGCTCTTATTTTTCTAGTGTCCTAAGGTGGAAACTTAGGTGATGGATTTTTACATCTTTCTTTTTACCTAATATGTGCACTGAATTTTCTAAGCACTGCTTTTGTCCTATCTTGAAATTTTCCTACCTTGTTTTCATTTTATTTTCTATAAATCCTATTGCTAAGATCAAGTGTATTTTATATAGATCCTTTTTCATACCTCCAGATACTGCAACCTCCCTCACCTTGGACCCCTGTAATTACAACCATTTTCTCAATCCCCAGACTCATGAACCCTTATTTGTTTTGTTCACTTCTTGTGTGTGTAGCCTGCTTTCTTCAGCTTATTACTCCTTGATAGAATAAATGCTTCCCAAATCCCGGGTGATTCCTCTCTGAGTGTGTGACAAAGGAGAGACACTGATGTGGCTGATGTAGCACCACGGGCTTAAAAATACCTCTGGGCAGGGGTTGTCAAACTCCTCGTAGCTTTGAAATTATTGGGGCAGTGACACATCTTCTGAGGGATACGTTCTGCGAACGACAAGGACAACAGAACATGCAGAAGGTGATCTGACTGTATCAAAATACAGGAAATGAGCATAATTTTGTAGCTGGAAAGAAGCTGGTATTGGCTTCCTTTTGTCATAGATAATGACTTCATTTTTCATCACTTCTAGACTGTGCAGATTCTGATTGCTCTGATGAACTTCAGCTTGGGAATAGTAGTAATGAGTGTCATGGTGCCAGCTTATGATCCACACCCCATTTTATTCAACATGGGTTACCCAATTTGGGGGTCAATGATGGTGAGTAAAATCCTTTCTGATATAATTGGAGGTAACATTATTGTTAATATCTGATATTTGGGTTCTTGTCTTGACACTATCCTGTATGTCTATAAGTCTGAGAAAGGTATCTAATGTTTCTTTCACTCTGTTTTCTCATATTTAAAATGGTAATAATCATATAAGACTCACAGAAAGCTAGGCAGATGAAATGTTTCATGTGCATGACTTAGGGTGTATGACAGCAGCATGCAGCCAGGACCCAGGTCACAAAGGCTGAAACCACCCTGCATTTCCCAGTAAGAAGCCTGTGCTCAGTCACTTCCAGGAGGGCCAGCTCAGGCTTCAGGGACTTCCGGAAGGGTCTCTGGCAGTGTGTATGAGACCAGACACGTCCTGTTCATAAATATTTTACATGCATGTTCTCAGACTAGTTATGGCTAATGGACTTGTCATTACGGACTTGATCTACTCAAGACCCACCTCTGTGGCTTGGAAGGGTTCGCACTTCCCTGAAGTTCATGAAAAACTAAATGAGGAGCATTCAGCAAGCAAGAACTAGAGCCCCAGGATGTGCAAGCCATTCACAGTGTCCAACCCATCAAGTCAAGTCTTAGCAAACAGTCACTTAACAGCTGGAATAGCTCTTTGACAAATTTTATTTTCTAAGTTTGACAATAACTACAATTAAAATTAAAGTTAGAATTTTCAAATCTTTCCTCCAAGATAAGATATAAGGACATTGTTCTTAAAGATTGAGGATATAGAATATATAAAATATCAAGTTTTGTCTACTAAGGAAAGAATAATGAAATTTGTAAAGGATATACATTAGAATCAGGAAGCCAAATCCAACTGTTGTGAGATTTCCATTTATCTCTAAAGGTGAAGATGTGTAGCATCTAATGACAGGCCTGCGGTTTTGCTCCCCTTCTTGTTTACAGGAGAGGTGTGAGGACTGAAGGCAGCAGGTGCTGCTCTACTTCCAGGCATTGCATAGCACCTTAATTATCAAATACAGCTCTAATAACACCAGTATCACCTCTTACTAAACTCGCTGTGATCTGGGTACTCTACTGAGAGTCTTCTATGTGCAATATGATTTCCAACCATCAGCAGACTTTTGAGAAATGATTTCCATTGTCTTCCTTGTATGGATGGAGAAACTGGGGCTTAGATGAAGTAACTTCATCACAAGATCACACTGCTATTAAGTACAGGAATCAGGCTCAGGCAGTAGGGTTGACATAACGACTCTCCTTATCTGGTGACTGCTTCATTTCCTATCCCAGCCCACAGTGCACTCCAGTTTGTGTATTTCAGGCCATTCTACATGGGATCCTGAGGCAGGCGCTGTCTGTCCTCTGAGATATCACTCAGACTCTTGCAGTTATGCCCCTCTAGAAGAGCCTTAGCTTAAGTGGTGGGTCGCTTTTTGCAGCTAACTTCTATTGTTGTTTCTTATTTTCAAACTTCACCTATACACTACATCATTTTTTCTTCCTTACCATGTACAATATAGAAGTATTCAGAACAAATTATAAATTTCTCATTTTTTGGTCTTTAGTCATCTATAAGTCCTTTACTAGAATCCCATAAAACTATGCCCACATTGTTTGTTCAGATTTTCTTTTGCATACTTTTGGATCATTGTAAAGCTTTACTTACATGAAATTTGTTTCTATGAGATATCATATATAGAGATGTCATATGTAAGTTAGACATATGTGTGTGTTTTCATATGTGTGTTCTGTGTGTGTCCATGTACACGTGTGCATCCCCCCAGGGGACAGGTTTGGGAACTTCCGTCAACCCCTAAATTAAAATCTGTGGCTTCTCAGGTCATTAAGTGAGCCCTCTCCATCTGCATGGCTGAAACCTGTGGATGTGGAGAGCCAATTGTGTACATTTTTGCTATGGTAAATAAAATACTTCCATTAATATTAACTTTAACACATAAACCCAAATATTGTTTATACATATATGTATTCCATGTGTAAGTTCCCATGATTATACAAATTTTCTCATAGTTTATAATAGTTTTTAATTGATAATCTTTTGTTTATAATGCACCAACTCATAATCACATTTA